GACGACGAGCAGAATCAATCGATCACTGGGGTGGAGAGGATGTTTGGGAGAGAAGAATTGTGGAGTGAAGACGCTGGAGACGTAGAGGGTGAGTCAGACCCCTATGGTGTTGTCAGAGACAAGGTGGTTAGAGATTGGAAACGCTAAACTGTCTCTATAAACACACGGTGTTTGAGAAATTAACTAAACATACACGGGATTTCATACTCCGTAAGAAAGGAAAAATATTTTAACGAGTAATAGCAAATTTGTGGATTGACGAAAAAGGTATTAAAATGAGAATAAAATTTAATTAATTACATGGGATTGCAAAAATCGTAGGAAATCATTAATTATACACTCACGAGAGATGTACTTATATCGTTGGATATACGTTATAATTTTATAAATATGATTTGTTTATTGATTATTTATATAATAATCAATGTATATCAATATAATTAATGTTTATTAATATAACAAATTGCAAATAATTTTGAATAGAGCAATAAAAGGAATTTTGCATATTTAGTTATAATAATTGTCTGACTGAATATATCTGAATATCGATATATTTTCTGTATTTATTTTTATTGCACGTAGATTATAGATGAATTATCTACAGATGGACGTATCGATGTTATTACGTGTGTTAAATTGTTAGCATTACATACCCCGTTTATTAGCCATTAAAAATTATCAGGCAACTACAAGTGGATCTAACCATTCCGTTGCTTATCCGCTTATTTATTTCTCATTCTGTTACTCGCTTGCTGCATACTACCAGTTATACTTTTTTATGATCCATAACAGATCTCGCGATGAAAGCAGAACATTACGTATTCACGTGGCATCTTGCTTTAAGGGGAATGAGAACGTTCCGGTCAGACGTTGCCCGAGTAACTACGTAGTGGACGCGTTAAGCGATTCTTCCACCGATGTATATATATATTTATATATATTTCATTGCGATGCGTACCTCGTGAAAATATGAAGTACCGTTTCGTGGGAATGGTTCTAACGCGGTTACTCGACTCGCTGGATAATTATTTAATTAAATCCTGCGTGTGTTTCCTTTCAACGCTATCTTCGTAAAGGATCTCGAGCATCGCGTGACAAGGGATCCCTTTCGTTGAACGTTCTTTATTTCCTGTTGAAACGAAACAGATGCGTATCTAAATTAACTGTTGCTTTAATTTTATTATAACAAATAACCCAAGATTCCCTTTTCTCAGTCACCGGGCGAAAGAAAAAGAACAAAGGGTACTGGCAGATGTTGCTGTACTTTCTGGGAGCCTCGAAGCTCGCTATGCTCTACGCGATAGTAAACGCTGTTGCTGCTATCGCTGCCAAGGCTCTGATCGTTGCTAAAGTCGCCCTCGCCATTGCAACAGCGATTGCTCTGACGAAAGCCTCTGGTGAGTGAAATTTAATAAATATATCGCAATAATGGATATATTTTCTCACTTTAACGAAGGCGTCCTTCGCCTCGATCTTCAAAGGATCGATAATTTTCCATTTTCCTTTCAGGACACAAGGAGAAAGTGTCCTACGAGATAATTAAACACCCCTATCACAGCTACGAGCAAACTCAGAGCGCCAGCTACGATTACGACCATCATGGCGGATTTGAGGAAAACGATTTGAACTACCGGAAACGACGAAGAATTTACTGACGGAGAATCGACTGGTCGAAACTTAGAGTACAAAAACATTCGCAAGATATTAGAAATTTATATAATTATTTTGGATAATAAAAGCGCAAAGTAAATTCGTGGATTTTTATTCACCGAAAAATGATCGGAAGCTTTTAAATTGATCAATTAATTGATAATTTCTGGAGAAGAAGAATCTCTCTCGTTACTTTTTATTCATGTAATTTTTACAAAATGGAAACATGACGTGATCGTGTGCATCTTTCGCGACATGGTTGCACGCGTAAGATCAATAAATAAATAAATACAGTAATATTAATTTTTGGTACAGCATATTTCGCTAGTTACTCTTGAACAGACATCGGATTGCCTAAGGATATCTAAGCTAGAAAACACACTTAAATTCCTAGAAAGAGACGACACGGGGCACGATCTCGTGCAATAATTTCCACGATAAATATCACTCGGATGCAGCAATCAACAATGTCAGGCTTTATTTTATATACAAACGAGAAGCATCGCTATCCTTTTTACTCGCATACGCTGAACCAAGTATCGTACGCGAAACAAAGTAATTTTCACTGGGTATATTCAGGTCGGGGTGACGCCTTCGATGGCCCTTTGCCAGCCGCTGCCATAGCCTCCTCCGCCGTAGCTTCCATGGTGTTCAGAACCCGTAGCGTAGATCACCTCGTGGCCACCTCCGCCCTGATTGGACACCAACTTCTTCAGTCCGATGATGGCGCTTAGAACTAGCGCTATCTTAGCCGTGAGCAAGGCCGTGCCAGCGAGGAAGGCGATTTTACCGTAGGCCAGCTGCGCCATCATGGCTGGGAAAGAAATTTTTCATCAGGCCGTTGGAAAATTGAATCGTTAAAATTCATTATCTCGTAAATAACGATGAAAACGTTGGCTACATTGGCGCATAACTTGTAACTCACCTCCCACTGCCAAGGCCCCCATCAAGAGAGCGCCGTATCCTTTGTCCTTCTTTTTTCGACCTGAATAGAGAAAAGAATTTGCTAGTTGAAAAAGCCTCACGATTCGAATAACTTGGAAGCATGCGAACGTAATCATCCTACTTTCCGTACCTTGGAATGCGTCTCCAGGTATAGTCAGCTTCACGCTCCTAGAAGAGATGTACTCGTGGAACTTGTTGTCCAGCTTCTGGTCCAGACTAAGCTCCGTGCCATTCTCGTCTTTGAACGATCTGTCGATGCTCTTGGTGGCCGCTGCAGGATCTCTACCAATGGACACGTAGTCGTTCAACACGTACACTGTATCATCCCTGATCCCCGAGTCGAGGATCTCCAGGGCCCTCCGCTTCAAACAGTCGAAGGCGTTCTTCTCTCTGGCGCATTTGTCGAACAGCTTGGTATACTCGTTTTTACTCAGCGCCAGGTTGAACAGTAGCACCAGGTGAACGACGAACGCGACGCAATGGACCCTGTTTCTCCTCATGGTGTTCTAAAATGCGCGCAGAGGTGCAATGACACTCGATAAGCTCCGAGGATCGGAACTTGGCCTCGTTGAACGCCGATCGAGTTGCCGGCTCGAAAAATATCGCGAACTAATTCGAATTGCTCCGTCCTGGCCTTTTATAAGAGTACTTCGCGTTCCTCCTCCTCCAGCTCGTCCTTACGACGTTAGCTCACACCTGATCCACGCGCTGTTTAACGCCTCCTCCTCTAGGAGGAGGGACTCCTGAACCAAAACAATGTCGTACAGCCCCGTAAGTAAGTATCCCCTGACCCGGTTGCCAAGTGAAGCAGAAACCCTCGCGGAACAGCCCACGAGCAGGAATTAAAGGCCGCTTCTCTAGCGAGAATCGCGAGTACAGGCTGTAAAGTTTCTTTCTCTCAATGCACTGGCGTTTTCCAATCCGCCATTCGACTCGATCTTCTCAAAATTCTTAAAAGTCAGCTCGCATGACAGGGCACTCGATTATCCACCATGATTCGAAGATCGCGTAACAGGATGAAAATTCATGCAAGAGGGATGCAACAGCGAGAGGACTAGTGAAACCGAGCTCTTCGTCTTCTATTTAATCTTTTTATTTAACCAGCGAAAGTACGTTTGCATTCGTTGAAGATGAACGCTCTGCCAAGGATGCATTGTTCGAGCCAGTGGTTTCCTCGATCACTCGCGTCTGACAGTCGCAGTCGCGTATTAGATAACGCGGAGATACTGTTAATCCGACACGGATTGCGGACCATGACGCGCCACATCTGACAAGATGGCGGCGCACGAAATTTTCTATATTAAAAATGTCCACGGTCGTTCGGTCGCGTGGCCTGAAAAATCCAGGACAGCGTTCGCGAGCCGGCGTTTCGTTGTGCCTCCACGCCTGACGCTTCGTCGTCACTCCGTATGACCGGGTAGCAAACGCAATTACCCTACTTCGCGCGAGGGGCAGGGAAGAGGAGAGAATCTTAACAGCCTTATCACCGTGCCGTTGCAAAAAGCGAAACGCCGACGTGTCGTCGCTGTTAACAGGGAACATTGTCTCAAAGAACCAGGCCACCCTTCTTTCGGCCCCTTGTTCCCCCGATTTCGTCGTTTCTTTTCTCGGCTGCGATGGCCACCCATTACCCTACTTCGCGGCGGGGGAGAAGAATCGGCGGGGGGCGAAGGAGTGGAAAAAATCGGAGTGGCGAAATAATTTCACGAGGGAGAGAGACTTTGAGGCACGGTAACGAATTCCGCAACGATGGAAAAGGAGCGAACCGTTAAGTCGTAACGAATCCTGGCGTCACGCACGTTCGACCAGGGTAACCGAGTGCAGAAATAACTCAAACAGCGGCGGAGGATGGCAGAAGCCACGGGCCGTGAAACGGTGGCGGAAAACGAGCAACTTTTACGGTCGACCGTCGACTGTCAGAGTAATGTATGCCGCGTTCATCGTCACACTTGACATAAGGAGTCGCGAGCACGTGGTGAAGCCACGCGAGCGTTCACGGGACCATGAACGCTATTACATTTACGAGCAAAAGCGTTTCCCGGACGCGACGTTTCCTCCTTCTCCGATCGAGTACAGTTACGCGTTCACGATAATGGACTGGGACCGGTGGCTCCGTGGACGAGTGAAAACGTCAGGATCCTTGCTCAGGACGAACTTGGATGGGAACGACGCGAGAAAACGACAGTGAGGGAACGGTATTCTTGGAGTCGCGTGGAATGGAGATCGATGGATGGTTTTCAGGCACGGGGTGGAGAAAGTCAAACAGGAAGCAGGAAAGGGAGAAGGTTGGCACTGGTTTGGCTTGTCGCTATGGCTGTCTGCTATGGCGTCGCAGTCGCGATTCGACCATCCGTCCACCCGGTTCCACGATGACGGATCATTGACACCGCCTGGAATCCTTGTTCTCTCGCTCGCGAGCCGGGCGAGCGTCCGCGCAGTTATGCGAGATATAATTGGGACGATTAATTATGACGGGTAATCGGATTCGCGAAGAGGCGATGAAAAAGAGCGGAATGCGTAAAGGATCGAGGAAAATTCTGCGTAACGTAAATGGAACGGAGGCGGTAAAATGTGGTTGCGCACTGAATAGTCCTTCCTCGAACTTGGCCTTTTATTCGAACGATTAACTCGACCTTCCGCATTAAACGGGAGAAACTGTAATATCGTGTAAGTACATTCTATCGATCTCAACGAGCAAGTATATAATACCGTGTAATACCGCGTGGAACTGGGTCTTTCAATTTACGAATACTGATCTTTGACGTGTCACCTCGAATAGTCTCTGAACCGATAGTGCTTGACATTGACACGGCCTTCGCGATTCCGTTTGACCTTGAATGACCTTGGATGATCTCGAACGAGGATGCTCAAATGGGCTCGAAATGACTTTAAGGCGACCTTGAATTGACCTCGAAATTTAATTAAATGTCTTTGGCATGATCTTGTATTGTACATTTTTGTCCCTACCTTAGATATCCCAAACGCGATTCTTCGCTAATTCGGAAGGAACAAGCAATTGGACACTTTCGAAGGCATGGGATGAATTATTTGACAGTGGTGAAACAAAAAGAACTAGTGCCTGTTAGAATATAAATGGCTGTAAAACGAAATGCAAATGGCGACATCAGTTATTCTTCACCCAAACGAAATTCTTCCCACTCCGCTTGTTCTTCCCCACTTCCTCCGGTTTATCGTAAACGTCGACGACCTCTCTGATCACATGCTGACTGTACGGCTCGAAGTCGCTGCCCTGGAATCCCCTATACGGTCTATGGTGGAAATTATAATGCTCGTAGTAAGGAAATCCGCCAACCGGTGTCTCCTGTCCGTGGAATCCGCCTACGTGTTGAGGCGTTTGGACATTGGACAGCAGGGAATTCCAGCCCAACAGGCCGCTGATGATCAGCGCTACCTTCGTCAGCAACAGAGCTTTCTTCGTGAGCAACAAGAGGAATCCGAATAGCAACGGAATCAAGGAGGCCAGGTTAAACTTGAAGCCTAGGAGGAAGGGTATCAGCAGGTGTCTCATCATTTGCCTTCCTGAAAAGAAGAAAGTTGCTCGACAGGCATTTAAACGCGCGGCATTCGCATTCGATAAACTCGTTGCTCAAAAATAGGAACATTCGCATTCGCGGAGGCTATTAATAGAAACGAGACCCGAGAGCGGTCAGGTTAGTGTTATTGCAGAAATATTTTCTGATCTTCCGATGATACGGTACCCGAGGAAATTGCGTTATTCTACAGTCGTGAAATGTGTGTTAAGAATTCTCAGCGTGAATGGCCTTGACCGTGCTGCCTGCTGGAGGAGCTTCATGAAAGCAGCTCGTGGCGAACCTCACCTCAGCGAGGATGCGAACCCTGGAGAACGGTGGGTTCGTTTCCACGCTGATTTCAAGCTCCAATGAGCTACTTATCGAGACACCGAGTTAGCCAAGACTCTGTCAAGCACCTGTCAAATTTGTCAGTGACTGACAGAGGATAGGGACACCTAGAAAATCATATTCCACGAAAGACTAGGTCATAAAACACTTGGAACTCACCTGGACCAGCCTGTCTGTCACCGAAAGCTTTGGGTCTTTCGTTGATCACGAACTCCATGATCCCATTCCCGTTCAACATAGGTCCAGCTCGCAATTGCAGGCCTGGATAGACGTTATCCAAGCTCCACTTGAAACTCCTGCGTTCCATCAACTTGGTAGCCGCTGTCATGATGTTTCCAAAGTCTTTCGGGTCGTAATCCCAGTCTAAAAGCTCCCTGCCGTAACCGTCAGCCCTTTCCAAGTGTATCTCTCCAAAATCTAGATCATCCTCTTGATTGAGCGACTGTAGGGCGCTCAGAGCACCGCGATTGACACATTCCAGGGTGCCAAACTCTTTCCTAGCCAAGCAGCTGCCAAAAGCATCGTTGAAGCTCCCCGGATCCTCGTTCCGCAGGATCGACTCCTCGGTGGGTTCCATGATCACGGCGATTCCCCTGGAGACGAGGATTAAAAGGCACAAGCATCGTAATTCGTGCCTCATGACGACGGTACGGGTTTCGCGAATGGGTTCACACTGGAAGAAGATCACGGAGAAAGTCGATGAAATTTTCGTGTAGACTTCCGCGATGAAAGTTCACCGAATGCAACTAGGCCGACTGCTCCATCCTGGGGAAAAGAATTCGAGTTCCATTGAATTCGACCAGCACAAACTCGATTTCCCATCGCACTTCGATCCTCACCCAACGAGAACGTCCTTTGACATTTTCTTGCGCGAACAGGGAGAAAAATGCTCGGAAATGCTCGAGGACCGAGAAATTGCTATTAAAGGTACACGAGACGATGGCGAAGGACCGGGTTTCGAAACAATACTGTTCATCCAACACCCGCGATCAGCCAGCTATATAGGCGCCAAGGGGGCGTTCACACGCGATGGAACAATCGGTTTCACTCGGCGGATCTTGCGAGCAGCGAAAGTACGTCTGGCTCTTTTCATTTCGACGGTCCCTCGATACACCGGATGCACCCGAGCAGGCCAATTTCCAGAAGCGAATCTCGTTAGTCTGTCAAAACGTCGGCCGGGTCGCAACGAGGAGAAATTTTCGCACGAGCGATCGGATAAGAGCAAGAACCGCGATGTATTCCCAGCCGCGAGGCTCTGAATCGGCAAAGACAACGTGGTCGAAGAAAGCGGTAACCGAGCAAATATCGAGTGGCGTTAACACGATTATGGTCGATTAGCATGCCCGAGGCGACGAGTAACGTTTAGAGCCTCGCGTGATAACGAGGTAGGTCAATTTGCGAAGAGAGGAGAAAGACGTGTATCATGGGTTTGTATAAAATTAAGATTTATTTATAAATAGTTCGATAAGTTACATGGCAACCCGGGCAGGGTGTAATATAAATAATCATTGGATGAAATCTGGTAGCCCTGTACAGGTACTGACTACGAGTCCGAGCGCGTTCGATCCGGGATCTGCCATCGAGTCGAAGCGCCGACCCCTGGTGGGGTACCGCACTAGGGTGGCTCGAGGGTGCACGACTACCACCGTTCACTGTTCCTAACAAAGTCTGTCCGGCATCTCGCTGCTTATGTCACCGTGGCAATCGTAATCCCGTGGTGAACGGGCAAACACCTGGTGCCAACGATGTCATTGACAGTCTGATCCGACGTCGAGCGGTCCGATCGATCGTCAGTCGTCACGGTTCGTCACGTTTGGTCACTGGTCACGTACAATGGAACCCTCTCGGCGGTGCAGGTGGTCGATCGGTTCGATCGATCGGAACGTCCATCGGGTTTCGATTGCACACGAGTTTCAAGGTCCTCGGGGATCGAGTCGCGCAACCCTCGGGTGATCGCCAGCGGCGGAGCGATCACTTTGGCGAACGAAGGTAGTGAGTTGAGACGAAGAGAGTATGGCGACGGGTGAACTACTTGGATGGCTTGTACGCGTTGTACGCGAGATCAGAGCCTGCCGATCTCGCCCATCCATGGTGATCGTGGTGTTCTTCGTGACCGTACGAGTGCACAGGATGAGCCACCACTTCGTAGCTCTGGTGTTTGTTGCCGAGTAGCTTCTGCAGACCGATGATGGCGCTGATGATCAGAGCGATCTTGCCGATCGCGAGAGCCTTCAGAGCGAGGAGAGCCAGGGCGCCCAGAGCGATGGGGATGAGGGCTGCAGCCTTGAGCTTGAGAAGCAGTAGAATTGGCAGGAGAGACTTGACGATCTTCTTCTTCTTTCCTCGAGCTAGAATGAGGCACAACGTCGCGATTACATCGATCATCTAGACACACGGTGGGTTCTTTCAACGAAGAGAATACCTTCGTCGAAGGATCGAGAGACTTCCTCGGGCAGACTCAACTCGACGGTGTGGGTGGAGAGGAACTTGGCAGTTCTGTCAACGATAGCCTCGTCAATGGCTGCTTCCCTGGCTTCCGTCTCGGCTGGAAGGCTACTTTCGATGTCGTTCAAGGACCTCGCGTTGTCGGCTCGGCTGAAAAGTAAAATGCTTACATAAATCACGACGAAATTGCGCGAACCGACCAACACCCTCCTCATTCGTCCTCTTTACAACCCATTCACTTTCTTCCAAACGACCCTTTACCTGCTCTTAGCCTCCTCCGTCTGCACGATCTTGAATCCATCCATGACCTCGATGTCCGCCGACCTGGCCACCCTGTCCACGAACCCCAGCGCCTTCAACTTGAGACACACCGAGATGTCCTGTTCCCCGGAACAGGAGGCGTACACATCCAAAGCTTCCTCGAGAATTGACTGCTGCTGGCTGGCCTCCTGACTCGCGGGGGCGGCGAGCACCGCGGCGGCTAGCAGCGAGACTGTTACCACGAACTTGAACATCTTCGACGTATATTCCGGGGTCACCAGGTGGATAGAATCCAAGGGGGAAGAAAACCTGCGTACGTGTATATACCGGTCCTTTCACAGACGTGCTCGCGACGCGACTCGAACTACTGCGGCGATCGTATCGACACTGACCGAAAGAATCACGATTGCTGCCTTTTATCCTCGTCGCGAAAGGGGCCCATGTACGTTTTTGAAATTTTGATGGCCCCCACCGACCGGACCCCCGTCTGCCGTTGGGTTACAACCCAAACGAGCTATTGGTTCTCCTCCAGGCGGTCGTCCCGTGTTTCCCTGTCGCGCGCGTCTCTCCCGTTGACGCGCCTCGGCGCGCGAGCGAGCGAGCGAGCGAGCGAGCCAGCGCAATCGGTTCTTCTCTCGTCTCTCCTCTCTCGCTGCTCCTCCACCAAGCTCGAACCAGCCCTGACGCTCTCTGCAGACGCGCGAGCGCGCCCATCGGACGATTGGTCACCGGTGACCAGCAGTGAGAGAGACAGAGAGAGGGGGAGAGGAAATTTCTGGAGAACTTACTCGCTCGTCGCAGCCCTTCCTCGATCCTGGAGATTCAAGGGTCGAACTATCCAGAGGGACCATTCCTAGCTCGAATTGTGTCCTCGAGGATGACAGCATTGGGTCCTTTAGGATTATTAGGGGTGAGAATAGAAATTTTTATATTTAAAAGAACATTTGGTAATATGCAAATAATAATCTTCGAATCTGACAGGACACCATTGATAGATAGAGTATTCACACCCACATAAGCTTCGAAAAAATTTTTGTTTTTAAATACAACCATGGTGGATTTAGGAAATATTTATTTTCAAAGGAAAATTTAGAAATTATTTTGCCAGTATTAGTCTTCGAATCCCTGGAACCATCATTGGTGGAATACTCCCACCCTACTACGTTTCAAAAATTTTTCTTTATTTTTAATACAGCAATCGTTGGTTTAGAAATTTCTGTTTAAAAAAAATTGGCAATTTGTGAATAATAATGTTTGAATTTTAGAGGTACGACAAGTATGGTTGTCAGCCGGTGTGGTTCACGGTGTCCTAACAAATGTTTGGTCCGTGGTAATATTTTTCGTCAACGGTAGCCGAGCGCTGCAAGTTCGTAGAATTCGGTTACTTTCTCGTTCTAGGGTACCGTATTTGTTTCTGGAGAGAGACGAGCAAGGTGTATTTAGAAATCGAATATTCAGGGTCAATGATATTCACAGGGGATCGCTGAGAACTCGACTGTAATGGTTTCTCGCTGCGTTGTCTGAAAATCGTTCTATAAATACACCAGGGGACTGGGGTACTGCCTCGTTGGACATTACCGTACACCTGTTGCCGTACACCTGTACCACGCAGTGAGCAGGTATTTTTTGGAATATTTCGTCCGGATCGAGTTCATCGTACCACGTTTCACCGCGATAGTCCACGAGAGCTGACTATTTACGGCTCTCCCGGTGAAAATCAGGAGACTCGCGAGACCCCGATGGCCCGTGATACTTTCTCAATGATCGGGGTGCAAGGTGGAGAATCGGGAGGACGCAGGATCGAGCGATAACCGTGGCGATTTCGCTTTCAACAAGCCGTATAATACCTCGCATTATGTAGAAGATACTTCAATCTCACGCCTCCGCAACTTTCCTCGTCGCGACCTCCTATCGAGAGGATCGCACTCGCTCGCGAATTCCTCCTCCTCTTTCATCCTTCGGGTTCCCTTCTCGCTCGCGAGTGAACCTCGAGGCACCGTGCTTCATCCTCTCCTCCTCCGGCTAACTGTAATTTATAATTAAATCCCGAATTCCGGCGTGGGTTTCTCTGACTGCTCTGACTCCCATTCATCCGAATCGGGGGTGTCAATAGAGACGAGTTAAGATCGGTCTGCTCGGAATTAATGTATTCCTGCGACACTCGCGCGGAACGTTTAACGGTTTTTCATGGAATGTCCGTGGTGCGTGGACGAGTTGGGTCCGCGCCAGACCTCCTCAAGGAGAACAACCGGCCGCGCCTCGGCGTGACCCCGAACAGACGTCTCGCCTAGAAAAATGTACGGAGAAGGAAAAAGATGAGAGGGCAGAACGAGAAGCTTCGTTTCCGATCGCCGCGACTTTCTCCGCGGACGAGCATCCTCCAGCGTGTGTCGTCCTCGCCACGAATTCCTCGATTTCGTGTCGCGTCGCTATTAATCGCTCCATTTCCTAAAGGACCTTTGTGCAATCTCGAACTAGCAGTACGCTGACCTCTTAACCGCTTGGACGCTGTCAAGAAATTCACGATGTACCAGAACGGTCCAGTGTACCAGGCTGGAAGACGTCATACAGGCGTCGTGTGTCCCTCGTCGTTGTCGATTCAGCGACGAAAGCATCACGACGTGCGTGGCACGTGTTTGCAGCGCAAGTGGTTAATCGACTCCTCTTCCACGTTATTAATTTTATTCGTTCCCGAGGTAAATGGTATCCACCAAGGAAAGTATTCCTCGCGATCCGTGTCGCGAGTGTGTATACCTAAGTTTGTTTGCATAAATAGCAAATAATTTCACGCGTAAAAAATTCCACATTACCAACCGACTGGTTGAACATTCCAACGAGCGTCGCCTAATCACGCAGTAGCTGCAAACGAGTTTCACGATCGGCCATTCCGCAAAACGAAAGTGCGTGCAAACATCGCGAGCACCGCTAGAACCGAAGCTCGAAAGGGAAAAATGAGACGGAATCGGCAACGTTCCATCCAGCCGAGGACTTTCACTTTATCTCCATGGCAGGCGACTAACGTTGGTCAATTTCCATTCTTTCCTCGACGAGCTGCAAGCTCTTCGTGGTGGACGATCGAGCGAGCGACGGCTAATCGGGGAACCGTGTCGCGCGCGCGCCAACAGCGCGATGACAGGTCGATGAAGTTATCAGGATGAGGCAGTGGGAGCTCGCAGTGGCTATTCTCGAGGACCAAAACGCTAATCCCGATGGGAGAAGCAGGCGGCTGCGAGCTGAGCGTGGCTGGTAATGGAACACTTTCCTCTCGACGACGCCGGCGAGAGTGAACTCGCCCGAGGATCGAGGTCAGGTCAAGGCCCCCACGAAGCCAAGTCTCGAGCTTCTCGCGCTCCTCTCTTCCTGCCTCCGCAGGATCTCTGCGTCTTCTGACCAACCCTGTATACGCAATAAACAACGGTTCCATCTCGAAGTCACCGGAAACGTAATTCCTCCTCGTCGACTCTCGATGGTTCGAGACGAACGAGATGTTTCGAGGAATTGGGCCCGATGGTCGATGAATGATTTAACAGCTCGCCTTTGCAGCGAATTTCGACCTATGAATGAGCTACTCCGGCGAAGGAAAAGTAGCCCACGAAGGAGACCAGAGACGCGTCTGGTGCCGATGAATGAACGCGATCCGCCATATCCGATGCTCCTTTGATTCGCGTGTGTTTTAAAATGCGAACCCTCGTCATTGGTGGAAGAAAAGAAAAAAAAAAAGCGAAAAGAAAGTTACTGTTTGGTTTACACGTATCGGCATGAATGAACGGTCCCACGCTTCTCTTCCTCCCGTAATCCTATTTCAGCCGACCGCGACTATCCCTGGCATTAATCATACCCTAACCTCCAAACACGAAGAAAACAAGGAGTCTAATAGCAAGCCACACTCGTTCCACTTTCGTTACCGCTTCCAGCGAGTCACGCTTCTAAGACCAAACGCCGGAGACCCTAATCTCCAGCGTTCGCCGGTCTCATCAACGAAATCTGGTCGAACACGTGCACACGGGAAGTGGATGGGGAAAAGGAGGTGAATGATTCGGGGACTCTCGGCACGACTTTCGGAAGTGTCGAAAAGGGCCGAGGCATCTTCAGAACGGGACCACCTGACCCGAGATCTGTCCGAGGATCGATGAACCTCGCGGCGTAGAGGGAGAGATCGATCGGCGGACGGGGCGGGGGGGATTGGGCCAGTGCACGCGGGGTCAGGGAGGAAGAGAGACACAGCTTTTTCTCCGGGATGGTAGAGAGTGTTAGGCGCGCGTTGAAAAGGCTCGGCGCGGATGCTGACTGGCCTGGTCGGCCTGCTCGGCCTGGTTTACTTCTCGATCGTGCGTCTGGCTCGGTCGCGCGCGCCGAGCTTCCAGGTCCCGGGCAAGTGCGTAAGGTGTCCGTGCGTTTCCAGTATGTAGGTAACGCGACGCTACTCTCTTCGTCTCCTCTCTGGCTCCTGCGCCACGCAGCAGAGGACGAAGGCGGAAGTGCGCGCGCTCTCCTGGCCTGCATCGTGCGTCTTGACACCGAGTGCGCTGTCAAGTCGCGTCGCGATTCGTTTCATTCAGAGTTACTTTCAACGAGCTTCGGAATTCGCCGACTGTCGAGTCTTCATCATCTTCCGTGATCGAGATCTAACTCGGTGATTCGGTGCCTGTCGATCGCTTATTCCTCGAGCGAATCGAATCTGCAGGCTAGAGGTGGGCACGGAGGATGCGAGGTGCGTGGGCGAGTCAAGAATAAGCTCGTGAATGGTATAAACGAGTTAATCTTAATATATTTCCATATCTATAAATATACATGGCTGCCTCGCAGCTGCGCGCAGAACAATAAATACTGTGGATGATCGAATGGTCGATCGGTACGATCGTTCGATGAAGGGGAATGACAGGATACAGGACAGAGGGTGGAATAGGGCGAGGCGGGGAGGAGAGGGAGGAGCGACGATGAGGGGGAACGAAGACGAGGAAGGTGAACGGTCGTGGAGGAAAGCGACATCCGAAGAGGATCACGCGGATGCCTCGTGAAAGCGAAGACTATCGAGATTGAAAAGACGCCTCGTTGCGGTTCCTTTGTTTTCCTAGGTAGACGACGGCTTGTAGGCGGAATAGGCGAGGTCGTGACTCGATCTCGCCCATCCGCTTGATCCGTGGCCTCCGGCTACCTGGACGACTTCGTGGCCGTGTTCTCCGCCTCCTGACACCAGCTTCTTCAACCCGATGATGGAAGCCAGTACTAGCGCGAGCTTGCTCACGATTAGAGCCTTGCCAGCTAGCAGAGCTAACGCTCCCAGGGCCAATGGTACCAGAGTTCCACCGATCAACAGAGGAATAGCGAGCAGGCCACCCATGTTCTTCTTCTTCTTACGACCTGGATGAGGGAACGATATTTAATTAAACAAATTCTAGGGCCAGAGTGACCGCAAGGGGACCGCGATGTAGCGTGAGAAGCAATTTCGGAGCATGTTCCGGTGCCTGAAGATATAAAAAAGAGTGGGCCATACGGTCTACTGAACCGGTAAATCGGAACCGGAAACTTTCTTTTTTCGGATGACTGCTTTAACGAATTGACGCGGTCAGGGTCCACGCGTATTTCCCAGCGTAATATCCTGTGCAATTAGACACAGATTCTCACCTTCCTCCACGAGACTTCGTTGAAGTTCCTCCACGTTGGGTAACTTCAGCTTCAGCGTGTGGCTCTGGAAGAACTTCACCACCTTGTCGAAGATCATGTTGTTCAGTGCGTCCTCTTTATCGTCTAGAGCCCTGGGTAGACTAGCTTCGATCTCCTGAAGGGACTTGGGTGGTTCCTCCGCGTTGGAGGCCGGTTCGTCCTGAACGAACGTGACGCCATCGGCGACGTTCAGTTGACTGTTCCTGGACACCCTGTCCATGGCGGACAGTAGCCTCACTTTCAAGCACGAACTGAGATCCTCGTCCACGCATTCCTTGTAGATCTGATACATCTGCCTGAGGTCTCCGAACACGTTGCTGTTCCAGGTAGACCTCGGAGTATCCTCGTTGATGGAATTGGTCGTGGGATTGGTCTCCGCTGACCTCGCCGAGGCCACGGCCAACAGGAAAGCCAGGTACAGGGAACAGTGGACCAAGTGTCTCATCTTGTATAATCTAGGGATCCTGGAAAACCAACGATCAATACAGCCTCGATGAAAATCTCCGCGAGAGTATCTCCGTACCTACCAGAGGATGATCTACCAAGCGAATCTGTGCTAATGGGAGACTAAACGAAGCTACTTCTGGACTCTCGGCTCGACGTTTCCCCAAGAACGAGCTTCGTGTAATTGGCCACCGGTCCTCCAGTCGTTTGACACCTTGGGCCGCGAGATGCGTGCTTACACAGAGCACTGTAACTGGACTGTCCGTAACGGAAGCCCTGCCCTAGCTCTATATATCTGGTCAGGTGTACCTCCGTGGCTGGCGATATTCTCCCCACCGTGGCGCGTACGAATACCACCATTGTGGGAGCATTTTCATTGCCAAGGATCACTTGAGAGCGGAGACCGCGTCTCGCTAACCACCTGGGGACCACCGCGAGTGGAGAGCAGAGTTCCTCTCCGGATCAGCCCGGAATTCGCAGTCCCTTCTCTCTCGCCGATCTAGCCCCACCAGTCAGCCGCCGATAAAACCGGCGATTCCGGCGAATCGTTTCGCTACTCTCGAACGGAGCGCCGTCCTCGCCCTTGTGGCTCCACTTCCTCCGCCAGACTGGTCTGACCAGATGGACGGCAGCGTTTCTACCTGGCGGATCGGAAGTTCGCCACGTGCGCGTGCTCTTCGCCGACCGAGTCCTTTTGCCGCGATTTTCACTCGCGTTATCGACATATCTCGATAAGCCTGAAATCGAAAGCATTTTGCAGCGGATCCGCAGGTTGATCGACCCCGATCCAGCCGGACGGATAGGATGAACCGGACCGAGGTGTCCACGGACGTACAGGCAGCGTCGGAGCAGATGCACGCTCGGGGTATTCCACATTTATGACACGAATAAAAATAGAAACGAAGCAGCGTTAATTAACGCGAACCGTTAGTCATTGCCGGCGTATCAGGCGTCCCGGATAGCCTCTGCAGCGGCACTTTTCCCTCTTATCCTGCGTTACAACGCATCCTTGCCATTTTCGTCCTGGCCGATGGCGGCGGGGCCGGCAATCTGGGTCGCGCCAAGTGAAAACGCGTTACACGTAGATACGCGTAGGCCCGAGGCCGCCGGAGGGGGTATCGTTCTCTTAATGTTCGGGTTCACGAGCGCAGTGAAGCATCGGAAAGCAGCGAGGCAAGACTGAAATTTCGGTGGGGAAACGGCCCTGTTCCGCCTCGATTTCTTTTCTTCTCGTCCCTTCCACCTTCCTCCTCCCACGCTCCGCCATTTTCGATGAATCAGTCGACGATTCGACGAATTCTCAGGCTAATGGATGCTCGTGCAACGATCGGGGACGCCGTTAGCGCACGAACGAACGAATAATTCTTACCGGACTACCGGAAATGGCCGGCGTTGCGTCGGGTTACGGATTTCTCGGTCACGTACGTGCCGTGAAAATGATCCCGTGGCACGGCGAAAGCGTGGATATCTCGCGCGCGCCATCTGGACACCGGTGCAGCCGACTTCCGGTTCGGGGGTCGCGATCTTGACCCCCGCTCCGAACTAGCCACCCGTTCCTTTTCCGCTTCGCGATCCTCGCCGGTGAAATTCCACGTTACGCGTGGCTTGTCGGCGAATGGAGCCGTCGTGTCGGCATTACCTCGACGAGTGAACGCGACCAGGCACACACGGTCCACGTGTAGCGCCGTACCCCGTATTACACGGTCGGTATGCAGGTTACCGGTTGCAAGTTCGCGGCGTATCCGGTTTCGCTGCGCCGACGCCGCCACGGGTAATCTATGCGCCTGTAATGAGGGTGCTTCGCGAAAAAGAGCCACGCTTTACGAGCCATTAAACGGCCACTGGACGAAGCTGGGTCAGTAGCGACACGGTCTAGCGGACGTTCGCCATTCGACGTTTCGCGTACTTTACGTCGGGGTTCCGCGGAATTGACAATCGCAAACGGCCCGGACGTTACGAGGCTGATGGAATGCCTGGCCCGTGGATGAGTTACCCTAGAGAAATTTCTAGGTCCCCTATTTTTCCTTGCTCTTTCCACCGGCTTGCACGCGAGGAATCCCCAGCATCGTGGTCGTGTTTACTCGCTGCTCGTTAAGTCGTATCTGGTTCAGGTATCAATGGATGCACCGGCGCGTTCCTATACTACTTTCACTCGTTTTCATAAATATCAAACGCACGAAAGCCCCGTGACGCGTGTTTTATGCGCAACGAGGTTCCATCTCCGGATCGCTCGATCCGGCCAAGCGCCCCGATTCCCCCAAGTGCAAGTGCGAGGCGTAAGTAAATGGAGTAGACGGATCCGCGACGCGGACCTTCCTGAAGGGGGGTATCTGCGTTCTCCGCATTCTCACACACTCACGTTTGTTACGTTTTTCTTTGGGACATGACGCAGCGCGCCGTTCGCCATTACTTTATTACAAAGAACAAATGCAGGCAATAACAAATAGCACACGGTCGAATGAATAAAATTAAATAAATACTAGGTCATGTTAGGCTCAATGAATAAATAACAAGGCTCGAGTTACGCTATACATGGATCGAGTATCTCGTGGAGGTACTGGTCCGTCGTAGAGTTAGAGAAGAGGGACAGAGAGATTGCCGAGACTGGGAAGAGGGGGACAGAGAGGAAGAGGAGGAAGAACGAAGTGATCAGGTATCGACGATAGGTAGGAACAATAAATACGTATAAAATAAAGAGCTAGGGGGGCAACAGGAAGAGGAGGAGAGAATCGGAAGGAAACGAAAGGGAAGAACGGTTCGAGACCAGAGGACGGAGGAAGAAAGTGAGGAATGTCGAAGGACGAAAACTTTCTACGAGATTCTTCATGCTTGCGGTTGAGGTTGATGAGCTCGGTAGGCCAGCTCGTGGCCGTCTTGAGGCAAACTCCTTGCCCAACCGTGGCCACTGCCACCGGAATAGCCGCCGCCGCCATAGTCGGCGCCGCCGCCACCGTAGCCACCGTGCCCCTCGTCGTGGCTAACGATGTGGCTGCTGCTGTGGTGAGGATGCGAGACCACCTCGTACGTCACGTGTTTTCCGCTCGAGCTGAGCAATTTCTTCAGACCGATGATGGCCGAGATCACCAGAGCAATCTTGCCTACGAGTAAAGCTTTACCAGCAATGGCGGCGATCGCGCCGAGGGCCAAGGGTAACAGGGCTGCAGCCTTCAGGGCCAGGGCCATCATCAGCGGGCCTAAAATCTTCTGCGCCTTCTCTGCGAAAGAATTCGAGGATCGTTAAGAGAACGGCGGTAACGGTAAAGCACTCTGGAATTTTTCGGGTTAAACGAGGCGAAGTTTGCTCGAAAGAGACGATTCAGGAACGATGACGATGTTCCGAGAAGTTGGAGGAATTCTCTTGTCAGTGCAACGTTTCCGGGTTAGAATCGCAGAAGCCAGGGCAGCTCGTGGACAAATCGTTCAGAGGCAGTGGCCGTTTTATTGCTAATTTTCTGCTTAGCCGCTCGCGGAAACGAGCCACAACGCGGCTGCAATTTCTCATGGATCACGAACGTGCGATATACGGGAACACGAGGCCTTTCAATAGCCCGGGATCTTCCCACGAGGAGGCTGAAAGAGTTTCTGGAACGATCGCGACCCGACCTTTCTCAGGACGACTCGCGCGCCGTTGAGATCTCGAAGTGGAATAGGCGAAGGTCAAGGCGACGTACCCCGTGTAGGAAGGAAAGTATGTCAAAAATCTCGCGCGGCGAGATCTCGAGAGGTCTATCTGTCTTTCTCTCTCTCTTTTCTCGCGGGTAATCGCTTCTTGGTCGATGGAGCCGCTTCAAGGGGAAGCGGAACCAGTTCCTCAGTGGGTCAACGTCTCGCGACCAGCTTCCTCGGCATCGTCATCGACGCCATTGAATAGACCCGACGACCGTGAGGCATGGGAGCTGGCACCGACAGCGTGAATCCCGGTTACCTGTTCGCTTGTCGCGTTAATTACCCACAGCTAATTAGCCGATTACGCGACCTCTGCTTAAACACCACAATGGTGCCTGAGTTTTCAAAAAAAGTCTGCCCAATTACGCTTTAAATGGCGGAGACACGTCGTTAACGTTCGCGGTAATTACGTAGGTGCTTCTAATCATCGAATACTGTTCGTTAATTGACGTAATTCACGATTCGGGTTAATTCGAGGACCTATACTCACTCTTCTTGCCGCGACTCTCCACGGCGTTGTCAGTGAAGTCCTCGAAGCTTCGTCCAGCAGACTCGATGGCACCGAGGATGTCGGTGCCTTTGAGGTCAACTTTGACAGTGTGCGTCCTTAGGAATCTGCCTAGACGGTCGAACAGTAGCGTATCCAAGTCGCTGGATTCGATCGATCTGCAAGAACAATCGCGTTAATCGCACGACGATGGTGTCTACTAAACCGAACGATGTCTAGTCTGAAATGACGTCGAACGATACGCGAAATTCGCTAAAAGGATTTTGAAGGAAAGAGAACCGACCTAGGTGCACCTTCCTCAGCGTTGGACGTCTTGACCACGGTAATGCCGTCCGTGAGCGTGATATCCTCCTTATCGGCCAGCATCTTGTCCACGTACGAGAATACTTTGTATTTGATGCAGTTGATGGACTCCTTCTTGAGACAGTCGCTGTAGATGGTCGCCATCAGGTCGTTCTCGCTTCCGGGCTTGTCATTGGCCGGCAGCGCCGCGGCCAGCACCGGAAGTAGCCACAGAACGGTCACAAAGTACTTGCCCATGTTCCTCGAACGTTGGCTCGTGAGGGACGAAAGTGTGTAAGTGGAGGAATAACAAATAAAATCACCACCGTGCGACTGCGAAAATGCTGGAAGCGACGACGAAGCTGCTATATCCTCGATATATCGCGCGGTGATCTGTCGCAGCCAGTTTACGTTGGAGAGGACGCCAGGATGAGCGTCGATCGAACCTCGTGTGTTACATCCAAAAGAGGTTGCTTTGCTTTTATACCGAAGTATCGCACGAGGGGAGACCTCGTGGGCACGGGCCACCGAGAGTTCGCGTTCGCGTTCGCTTACCACGCTCTCTCTCTCTTTCTCTCTCTCTCTTTCTCTCTCTTTGCCATCCCCCCTATGTCCTCTCTGCTCGCGTCTCCTCGCTCCTCTCTCCTACCCCTCTCTTCGAGCCGAGTCCTCGCAGGCCTCTCTACGAGGCCCTCTCCTTCCCCCTTCGTCATCCCTCTCCTTTCACGCGAATCTCGTTATTTCGGCAAGGCAAAAAGTCCGCTCTAAACTTCGAAGAGAGACGACGAGGAAACAGGATCAGGATACGCGAAACGGCCAGGAGAAATAGGAGAGGGACGCACTTGCATTTTCTTCGTGTTCCCCATCTCTCGCCGTGGCCCCCTGGCTGGGGCTGCCTCGCGTTCCCTTCTTCTTCTTCTTCTTACCGCCTGCAGCAGACCTACTTCGGCCTCCATTAAGGTCTGATGGTAGAAGGGAGCCTCCCCACATCGGTCGAATGGAGATTCAACGAGGGAAATCTACGCAGTGGAGGTCGTGGGGAACGGGCATACACGACGGCTCCCTTGTGATTTCTCGCACGACTTCACGTGTCTCTGCTTGCCGATTCCTCCTGTCGTCTATTATTATTGCCAGGGAGAGCGCGATGCGCTCGGCCACCGTGCACCCGGTCCCTTTGCATTCCACGGAGGACCTCGTAAATATCGCGACTGACAGCTGAAATCGGAATCATCGCGTTTCTCCTGCGTTCGTTACGCCTAAGACGATTTTCTCCGTCGAGCTTAACCCATTTCGCGGGACGTTTATAAGCCTCGCGGACCTGACCGTCGTCGTGTCACGTCGATCCGAAGATGTGGCAGTTTACCAAGTCAGCGTGACACTGTTTCCGAATTGTCCGAAGCTAGACCGGTCCCTCGCTTCGTACAGTTATCCGAGATTCAACGTCGTTAAATTCCACGGAATACATTTTCGAGTCTAGCATCGGGTGCTCTCCGACCTGGAAATGATGACAGGAATGGCACCCGAGATTCCCGTAGCTCGACAGGACTATTATAAATTACGACGTGACATGTCAGACGCGATCTCCGCGGGAGACCCCGCGTTTGGTCGCGGCGCAAGCGCAAAAAGCGTCAAAACGGGTCTAATGGTAGAGACTGGTTAATTGCTAGGGAGGTTGACATGGATCGAGCATCGAAAAATTCATCGGCGGATGATGGACGCGAGATATTATCTCGGGAACGGGGTCGCTCACCCATTTACAACTGGGTCGAGTGCCGGGCGTTCGTTTCGGCTGCTGTTCGTCTCTTTTTCCCTCTTTCACTTCCAGCACACCTGTCTTCATCTCGCCTCGATCCATTCCCCCATGCCCCTGCCGGAAAGACGTTCTCCATTCGTCCGGCCGGTTTCGGGGATCAAGATCGGCCGGTCCTCGAGAGCGAACGTCGCCCGGGGCGGAATCATCCACCTGACGCGGCGTCTTTCGCGGCTGTTCACGCGGCGACGTGCACGTGAACAAAAGCGAAGGTACCTCGCCCGTTGGATGACCATCCTGGCGGGTGAAAAATGGCTCCCGGTGCGGAACCGGAAGTCGCGCAAGCGATGGAAGACGCGGCGTGTCGGGGCACGCGCTGGTGGAATAGAGAACGGATTCTAGTAGCGGAAGCGGTGGTATCGAGGACGTTATGGTTAGAGAACGAGGGAATCAAAGGTTAAGAGCCCGCGTGAGAGAGTAGCAGAGGAGACAGCACACTTTCGGCCGATCGGAAAGCTACGAGCGTCGAGACGTCATCGAAAGTACGCGTGTTTGGAGACGAGAGGAGACATGAATGAGAACGATGGGTGAAAATGGTAATTCGATCCTCGGGACGTGGAGGGCGGTCGTGGGCAAGGATCGTGTTCGTAATTAAATTTGAACGGTATGCAGACGAGCAGTCTGAAAGGAGACCTCGTCGAGAGCGAACGGAGCCGCGGGAAAGAGGAACGGGCTGGTTGGCGATTGTTTCGAAATTCCCGGCAAAGTTCAAGGCGTTGCGTGCCAAGAGGCTGAAACATCGATGGAACACGAGTATAGCGTGTGTCGATCGACTTCCTCGGAAAACCGGCTTCTGCTCCCTCGCTTCCTCGGACGATCGTGATCTATATCGAGGTCTCCCGTCTATTTTCGCGCTATAATCGAGGCTGAGGATATGAAAGATGTGAATTTCCCTGAATTTCCCTATTTATGCTAGTTCCCATTGTAAGTTAATTCGCGATACTATTCCGATAGTCCAACGGTACTCTCGGATCCAGGATACGGACGATAAAGCCGAATACGTTATACTACCGAGAAACACAGACGAATACGTTATTTTCGATAGGTAACCCCGTTCGGAGGAGGCTTCTGAAAATCGAACGTCGAACTTTCCAATTTCCAGACAAGCCTTCGGAAACAGACTCCAAAACATCGGCTCGTTCCCCGCTGGAATCCGTGTCGCGCTTTTACCAGATTTACACAGGGCCCGAACGATTCGAATCACGCGGATCGGGGCCTAATCGCTGTCAACGGTCATCTATCGGCGACGCGCACGCGTATGGGCCGGTATGCGGCTAATAAGGCACTAGGAAATCCACAGGTGACCAGAGAGAATCAAGTAACCCAGTGACGCATGAGAAACTGCCGGGACTAATCGTGACGTGAGAACCGTACCGAGATTTAGATACGAGCAAAGCCGCTCGTTCGGCTCCGACGTTTTACGACTCTCTAATAACGAGATAGAGGCTCTCGCGTTACGAGCGCGAGGTGAAATTCCGCTTTTGTGACATCCAAAAGAAAGCCTCTATTCATCCGCTCGCTCGCAGATCCGTGACCGCGCGCGGGGCGCAGCGCCAATTTTCTGCCAGGCTCTTTCTTTCGCCCCTTTTTCCCTCTTTCGTTCTTTCCCTGCTCGTCAGCTCCACTCCTCGTTCTTACTTAATGGACGACGCGTTCCGATTTTTCTGCCTTCGCTCGACTTTCGGCAACATCCAGACGATTTACGGGGTCTAGTGCCTGGGTTCACGTCCGTGAATTAAAATTATTGCACTCGTTACTCGATTCGCTTCAACGATGCTAATGGAGAGAGTGTTCAGATGGTAACATGCATTCAAGAGAGCTTTGGGACCAAGTTCCATTACCGATATCGTATTCCTCGTTATATAATTTGCAATTTTTGTTAATAAATTTTTTAAGGAGATTTAGTAAATTAAAATAAATTATAGGAAGCTCAGATTATTATATTATTATTATCTGTAGTACTATGTGATACGTAATACATTGGATAATTTGTGCCAGGTATTTGCTAATAAATAAATATAAATATTGTTACGAGATTTTCATGTCTATATATTCGGATCGTAACTTCAGGGAAGAGCAATCCAGCACCTTTTAGAATGTTCGGATAAAATAACAATCGGCTGTTTATTATAAAATGGGATGTCTTTTACCGAAGTTCAGAGTAGAGCTGTCAGCCTTCAACCTTTTAGTAGGGTCAAATCTTATCAGCGACGTATTCATTGGAAATCTTAGGCAATCTAACGATGGAATTTGTAAAACAAGAATTGTAAACGCGATTCGTAACAATTTTTACCAGAAATGGGATTGCTGAGTAATTCCAATCATGGTTAAATTTGCCGAGCTGTAAATCCCATGGCTGGAGAAGGTGCTGGATTGTTCTTCCCTGAAGTTACGATCCGCTCTTTTACTTAGCCGAATACTGGGTAGATATGAAAATCTCGTAACAATATTTATATTTATTTATTAGCGAATAACTGGCACAAATTATCCAATATACCAAGTATTACGTATCACATAGTAATACAGACAATAATAATATAAATCTCGAGAGATGTTGCCTCTGTTTAAATCTTTGTCCCACCTTTTTGATAAACCAATTGTAATGCATGGTGGGACATTTTGAGTCCCGTCTGGAAATATTGCAATAGCTGCATGCACATAGGTTTATGTTTCGTCTTATTGACCCTTTGCACTCGACGACTTTTTCGTTACAGAAAAATAGTAATTCGAAGACTTTCTGTCATAGAGTCGGCGATATTTTTTAAATGGTAAACGAGAAATTATATGCAAATTAGACGTAGAATTATTTTTCTTCGACATTCCACACATCGTTAGGTAATTTTAAATTTGATATGTTAATTTACGTCGATCTTTAGAATCTTATTAAATGGTGACTGAGAGTCACCTCTCGAGAGCAAAGGGTTAATATAAAGCAGTTGGTAATACCTTCGACAAATGTTATAAATATATTCGCTCGTGTTGGCAACATTTAACGTGTCAATACAGGTTAAATAATTGTTGCAAGAGGAAGATTTATCACGATAATCTTTTATTCATAGTTTGATGTTTTCACATTGTGTGATCCCTTTATTAGTAAAAGTATGCCAATTTTGTTCCATTTAAAACGCAATAAAATTTTTGTGCGATACGGGTCTATTTTATAATCCTAAATCCTGTGTCGCAAAGAGTCGAAAAGCTCCTGAATCTTTATGAGAATTTTTATGAGCCCCGACGAAGGTGACAGGACAGGTTTGATTGTATTGCGCGAAGAGGGACAGCAAGCTGAATGGGATAAAAGACGACAAGTTGCCTGGACACCGCGTCACGATTAATGCACCGTGTCTCTCCCCGCGTGACTTCGCCACTAACGAAAGTCTCCTCTTCCTTTCAAAATAATTCCGCATCTTTTTTTCCTCGGGATCCCTCGCGATCCTGCCGCGGTACAGCG